GTGAGGCAACAGGTTCCAATCACTAATTTATCCCCGGTCCCAGAGCAGCAAGGGAGACCATGTATAGCATGGTATCTGACTTCTTCCTTGCATGTCCTTCAGTGTCCACAAGGGGGCAGACATGGTGGTAGGTTCTGATCAGTAATTCACCTTTGGTCCCTACACTGTGATGAGCATATATTCACTCCCCACTAGGTAGATGACGAGGAGCCAGGTCCTGATCAGTCATTTATCCTCAGTCCTGGCCCTGTGTTGAGCTGTCCTTCACTGTGCAGTAGGGGGCAACAAGACAACAGGGTCTGAACACTAATTTATCCCCAGTCCCAGAGCAGCAAGGGAAACCATGAATACCATGGTATCTGAGTTCTTCCTTATATGTCCTTCAGTGTCCACAAGGGGGCAGACTTGGTGGTAGGTACTGATCAGTAATTTACCTTTGGGCCCTGAACTGTGACGAGCACATCTTCACTGCTCACTACAGGGCAAGTGAGGAGCAGGTCTGGATCAGACATTTGTCCTCCATCCCTGCATTGTGTTGAGCTGTCCTTCACAGTCCACTAGGGGGCAGACTAGGTGGCAGGTTCTGACCAATAATTAATCCTTGGTCCCTGAGCTCTGTTGAGCAGACAGCATAGGGAAACCTGGCCATCTGACTTCTGCATAGCATGTGCAGGACACTGTCCTTCAGTGTCCACCAGAGGGCAGACTTGCTGTCATGTTGTGCGAGTAATTTGCCTCTGGTCCCTGCCGTGTGATCAGCAGAACTTCAGGGCCCACTATGTAGCAGACGAGGAGCCAGGTCCTGATCAGTCATTTATCCTCGGTCCCTGGACTGTGTTGAGCTGTCCATCCCTGTCCAGTAGGGGGCAGGCGAGGCAACAGGTTCCAATCACTAATTTATCTCCGGTCCCAGAGCAGCAAGGGAGACCAAGGGGTCTGACTTCTTACTTGCATGTCCTTCAGTGTCCACAAGGGGGCAGACATGGTGGTAGGTTCTGATCAGTAATTTACCTTCAGTCCCTGTACTGTGATGAACACATCTTCACTGCACACTACAGGGCAGGGGAGGCTGCAAGGTCTCATAAATTAGTTACCCTTGGTCTCTCTGCCCTGTGGAGCAGTTCTTCCCTCTGCACTAGGGGGCAGTCAAGGCGAAGGACATGATCAGTATTTAACCCTCGGTCCCTGAGCTGTGCTGAGCAGGCAGTCAAGAGAAATCTGGCAATCTGAGCTCTGCCTGGCATGTCTTTACTGTCTACTAAGTGGCAGAAGTGGTGGCAAGTTCTGATCAGTAATTTATCCTCGGTCCCAGAGCAGTGAGGGAAACCAGGCTATCCGACTTCTTCCTTGCATGTCCTCCAGTGTCCACAAGGGGGAAGACTTACTGATAGGTTCTGATCAGTAATTAGCTTTCGGTTTCTGTGCTGCCTTGAGCAGTTCTTACCTCTCCATTAGGGGGCAGACTAGGCAGCAGGTTCTGAACAATAATTAATCCTCAGTCCCTGAGCTCTGTTGAGCAGACAGCACAGGGAAACCTGGCCATCTGACTTCTGCATAGCATGTCCTTCAGGGTCGACTAGCAGGCCGACCTGCTGGTATGTTGTGCGAATAATTTACCTTTGGTTCCTTCACTGTCCAGTAGGTCGCAGACATGGTGGGAGGTTCTGATCAGTAATTTACCCTCGGGCTCTGTGCTGCTTGGAGCAGTTCTTCAGTCTCTACTAGGGGGAACATGAGGCAGCAGGTTCTGATCACTAACCCTGGGACCTTGAGCTGTGTTTAGCAGGCCGTGTAGGGAAACCTTGGAATCTGGCTTCTGTATGGCATGTCTATCACTGTCTACTAGGGGCAGACAGGGTGTTAGACTGTGATTAGGAATTTACCCACGGTCCTCATGCTTTATTGAACAGGGAGTTCAGCGAATCCCTGGAACCTGATATGCTCAGATCATTGCTTAGGGCTTCTTTCCGTTAGCTTTATTAAATAAACACATCAGTATATGTAATATATAATTACATGTTATATAATAATAATTACACATATATACATACTTTTTCTGGGGGGGGGGGGAGATTGCAAGCCTTCTAGGTATGTCTATAGAAAAGGCAGACCTTGTTAGCCCAGGACCCTGCACACAGCCTGCCACATGACACCTCCCTACATGTCAAGACGGTGTCCTCTCACTCTAGGAAAGGTAGCCAGAGTTGGTACTTTGGGAGAGTCGTGTGGCCACAGATGGTCCCAGGGACCACTCAGGCACGCCTCCCAAGTCCTGGAGTTGGAAGCTGGTGCCCGGGGGAAAGGGGTCCCCGTGGGAAGGCAGCTGGCGTGCTGGTGGGTCCAGTTGTGGCCAGTGTGGGTGGGCGGGCAGCCCTAGTGCTGGGTCTGTGCCCGTGTCACCTGCTAGGAACTGACCCTGCTAGCCCGATTTTGGCTGATCCTGTGCGTGTGGCTTCCGATCTTGGGTCTCCAGTGACTCCGGAGCCACCCAAAATCATCATGCCTTCTTTTTGGCTTATGTTAGCCAGCATCAGGTTTGGAAGCTTGCACATGAACAGTTTGACCTGATTATCCGGTGAACATGGCTCCTGGGTGAGGCATCACTGGCTGGCATAGTGGCTTTAAGTGGTGTGGACAGAGAGGGCTGTACCATCTTCTTCACAGCAGCTGGCCAGGGACCCAGCTACGTCTCAGCACTGGGGCGCCCCATGAGCTGCAGACGTGCACCAAGTCAATCTAGGGAGTAAGCGAGTAACTGAGAAAAGGGATCATAGAAGGAGTGATGACAGGCAGCCCTTGGCTTTAAGCGACTTCCCTGTAAGGCTACTGCAGGGGGGTGGCCTTTTGGTGAGAAAGCGGGGACCATGATGGAAAGATGGGGAGACAGGCAGGTGTGTTGGCTGGACCGACTGGTGGAGTGGGCAGGGCAGCTTGGGGACAGGTGAGACTCCCATCAGGTAGCTTCCCTTGGACTTCAACTCACTAGCCCATTCATTAATCATACCACGAGGAACTTAGGTCTGCTCATTTCCTCATTCCTCGTTTTCAATCGTGTAGTGGGGAACAATTCCACTCCCATGTAACCCAGGGTGACAGAAAATGCAGGATCTCATGTACATACCTCAGGAGCACGAAACTTATGAGACGGATTACCTGTAAATGCTGGATTGACAGAACAGTGTGTTGGAATTTTCTTGGCTGTTGGTAGTCAGACGTGGGGTCATATCCACCTGGGGAAGTTTTGCCAGATGCATCACCAGAGGCGACTCACATGGCATTAGTGCAACAGACTGGGCTGAATTGGGTGTGTGTGTATGCCTGTGACCAGACTGATTTTGTCTGCTTGGGAAAATCCTCAAGGCTGGTCTCCGTTTATTTTAAATGTCTCTGAGTCCCTGCCCTGAATCCAGCCAGGCCACACCCTAAGGACTCACCTGGAACTTGCTGCTCGTCCTGCATCGCTGTTCCTCCGCTATTCCTGAATAAATCTATCTTTTCGAGCATGCCTCAGGTCGCCCTTTATTAGGGTCATCAGTACTTCTGGTAGGATGGAGCGCACCCGCTGTTTTCCTGTGGCTTCAGTGACTCTGCCTGAGGGAAAGCACAGTCCTACCCAGACCCCCTTCTCCAGAGCCTGAACCTCAGGGCGGGTGGGCGGTAACCCTGCGACTGTCCCTGCCTCGCTCACTGGACAGTTCCCCACGCCCTGTCATCCTCTGCCCCACGGAGCTGCACCCTTGTGCCTCACTTTCAAGTGGATGAGACACTTGAGAAGAAGGAGCAAAACTGGGAAGAAAAAAACCCTTCAGCCAAATTCTGAGTCTTTCCTAAGGGCATCTGTGCGCTTCCCGCCACCTCCTTTCCATACAACTCACAAAACGATTTCCAGGTTTGCCACCAGTGACCAGCATCCAGCACCCATCCACAGGCGCACAGAACCTTCCGTGGATACAGACATTCTCCAGTGCCCTTTAGCAAGAGCCCCACGATGTTCCTAGCCAAGTCCTCTGTTTAGGGAGTAGAAGCTTAGATTTTCAAAATAAGAGTAGAGACTCAATGGACGAAGGAAAAGTTTTGAACAGCAAGGGGTTCCTTGTCTGTGAAGAAATTTATATAAATCTTAAGCAGTCTATGTGACCCCATTTAAAGCTACTAATATGTCTCTGGCATTGTTGCTGAAACCCCCAGAGCCACACATCACATACTCCCATCCTGGGGACTGTCATGCACCTCCGCTTCCTGCCTGTGAAGCTTTCACTACAAGGTTCTCCCCAGGACCTGCCTATGGCTCTAGTAGTAGGGTCTGGGTGCTCAGACCTTCACCCCAAACCCAGCATGGGGGAGCATGGATGGCTTCTAGCCCCCCATTTTGCTCCAGTGCAGCATCAGGCTGGAATTAGAGGGAATGACACACCATGACCTTTTTTGCAACTTGTCTGTACAGCAAAATGCAGCCCATCTCTCCAAATCCACGTCCTCTTCCCAATCACGGGAAAACAGCAATCACAGCTCAATTACGTGACACCCGCCAAGTGATTAAAGTGGTAAAAACAGAAACACCCAGTACAGCCTGGCACAGAGCAGGTGCTGAGACAGATCTGCTGCATGTCAGTCTACATCACGTAGAAGTTAAAGTCATGCATGCCTGTGGCTTCAGGTTCTTCAAATTACTGAGCTGACCCTTCCACTCAACACCTCCCCACCCCTGGCAAGAGAAAATCCATTTGCTTTGGTTTTTTTAAACAGCCAGCCTGAAATAAAAGGCAACACTGAAAAGCACACACGCTCTGTCTAGGTAGTAACCTTTTCATGTAACTGGGGAGGCAGTTCCGGCCTCGCCAGGGTGCCGAGTTCCCTTCCCCTACTCAAACTGGTCCCAGAAAGACGCCCTCTAGTCACTGGCTTCCCAAGAAAGCACAGAGCAATGTGTGCATTCACCAGTGTCCACGTGCCTTAAGTGTTCCCGCAGAACATGAAGAAAACACACCCAGCGCGTTCTCTCATATCAAAATAGAGCGATTTATTCAAGACACTGAGTATGTATGATCTGTTGATTTCTCTCGAAACGAATGAGCGAGGACACACCGGGGAATTTTTCTCAGCGCGCGTGAGGGTGCGTGGGGTGGGGAAAGAATAGAATGGGGGCCGTGGGCAGAACCGAATCTGGGAGATGCCGACAGGGACCCACATCTGGCTGTACGTCTGACACAGACAATATCAACTGCAGAAGCCAGAATTCAGAACTTCAGTGGCAGGAGGAACATGTCTGCATTTGACAAGAAACGTGATTTCTTTTTATAAAAGGTGGAACAGAAGGTTAAAAAAGAGAAAATTGACAAAAACAAAGCAGACCCTTACATTTCACAAAGTGCACTTTACTTGGCTCTGTGATCTAGTTTTAGAAAGACAAGTCCTGGAGGCATGGGGTGGGGGCAGAGGGTCACAGGGTTGCAAGCCCGTCACGTCCGGCCCTTCCTGGCCCCCATGGCCAGCAGCCTTTCCCAGGTGTGCAGGCCCTGCTCTTGGTCGCTCCGAACCCAGCCGAAGGTGCCAGGAGGGATCCTTGTGCTGCTTCCGGAATCGAGGTTACATTTGGTCACAAAGACACACAATTTGAAGAGCTGTAAATGATGACCAACAGTGGCAGGACATGGCCTGCCCTGCTGCGGAGTGGCTCTGCAGGCTTTCTGGCAGATGCTGAGAACGGGGGTGGACTCCAGGGGCGCTGTCGGCACCCTGGGGCTCGGTCCCCCTCGGGGCCTGCAGGGAGCTCTCCCGCGGCTGCCGGAGGAATACAGGGAGGTGGGTGGCTGGCCCTTGTCGCCCCGGACTCCCGTGTGGCTCGTGGCGCCGACGCCAACCCAACCATTCCCAGTGGTTCAGACTTTTCAAGAACCTGAGGCTCCCACCTGAGCGAGAGCCTGATTACTGCCCCCCTGAATGAAGATCTTCTAGCAAACCTGATGGCCTGTCCCCACCCTGCCACCTGACAGCCCTGTTGGGCCTGTCAACAGCAGCTGACACGTGAGCCCAGCTGACACGTGAGCCCAGCCGACCCTCGACCACTGACACTCCGTGGAGACGGATGCATTTTTACTTGGGGGGGGAAGGGGGTGAGGATGGTGTGCGTCTGCACCCCCACAGACTGCAGGCCAGACCTAATGAGCTCTTGGGGCAGGAAGCGAGCAATACAGCTGGAGGTGTGTGCGTACTTCAAAGACAGGATGGTGGCGCCATAGAACTCCGACCTCCTCAGCTAGGTAGGCATTTAGGTAGCAGACCCAGAACTCAATACCCAACTCATACAGAGAACGCTTTGTGGTCTTCTCTCACTAGGGTTTGAATAACTCACGTGCAAGTGAAGGCCAGTTAATGCCCGACGATGACAAGCACACTCGGACTTTAGGAGCTGGCCCAGCACACTCCAAGCTGAGCACAATGCCCTTGTCCTGCCCTGCCAGTCAGTTTTTGGCTCCATGGATGGATGCCAGCCTCCAGAGGGTCCTGTCTTGCTGCTGAAACACACACACAGTGGAAGCCTGTGCACGGCAGCCCCCCAGGCCCGGCCAGCTGCCCCTCCTTTCCCATACCTGCGGGAAAGCGGACGCGGGAAGAGGCCTCATCTCCCGGCCCTCTCCCCCACTGATTCATAAAATAGGTCAGTGTCGAGTTACACGTGTACAAAGTTGCCTGACCCAATGAGAGGTAAGTCCTCTATGAACACAAAGCCAGGTTTGATGTTTTAAAAACAGTAAAAAGATTCATTACTTAAAAAAAGAACATCTTTCTCCTAGTCTCTTGTGGGAGAGAAATACGAAGATGGCGGATATTGTTAGTGACATTCTACCTATGTCACTGAAGAAATGCATCTTCAGGACTGAAAATCTTCCCCCGTTCATTTCTGTCATTGTCAGACCAAACACGACCCTGGAGCCTTTCACGTCAACTCGGCAAGGGCCGGCCAAACTGTGGGGGGCCGAAAGCCAGTGGCCCTGTGGCTGCTGTGAGCAGGGTGTCGCTCTCAGCCACCCGGCCATGGGGTCGGCTCGATGGCCTCTCCGATACCACTGGGTTTCGGGAATGCGTCCCCCGGTGAGAGGGCACCGTTATTCGTTTCTCCTGCCGCCTACGTGGGTGAACACACACCGAGAGATGCAATGCTCTTCCTGCAGCCAGAGGAGCAGGGATGTTTCTCTCTGGCTGCAGAACAATCCTGCTGGCAACCCACGGGAAGGACCTTTTCCACCCAGAGTTCTAAGTGCCTTTAGTGAAGCTAAAGGAGGCAGAGTCCTCAGACCCTGCCTGTGTCTTCCTAAAACTGTTTTAAAATATGAATCACACAAAGCTCTCTATGTCTGATGGCCATTTTAGGATTTTAAAGTGATTTTAACATAAAAATACTTTTTTTCCAAAAATACTTTGGGCTCTTTCTCTTATATATATATTTTTCTCCTGTAAAAAGTCCCTCAGCCCTGCCTTTTTGTAATGCACTTATTCTGCACCAAAAGTACCCTTGAGACCTAAGATCTGAAGCAACTGTGACAAAGGTAGAGAGTGAGCAAGGGGTGACGGAGACCAAGGGAAGGGCGGGCGGGAGGGGAGAGAGCTGGCCGCCAACGGTTCCCCCTCCTGGTCGCCGTGGCGAACTGCAAATCAAGAACACAGCAGACAAAAGGCAAAGGCGGAGGGGGACTGGTAACCACAGGAAAGAAGCGACCGAGGGAACACAGCTTCCAGCTCACACTGAAGGCCCCCAGACGACAGGATTCCAGCCGATAGAAAAACCACCAGACAAAGACTCTAGAAAATACAAAAGTGTTGGGATCACAAAGCTGAACATTTCCTTGGTACAAACTGGTCTTTGAACATCCTTTACAGGAGCAACTGTAGTGTCCAAACTGTCAGCAAAGAAAGAACCAATCAACCCCCTACATGGAGGACAGCCCCCCACCCTTCTGGTTTATCACAGCATTTTCCCTTTTTTGGCACAGCTTTTCTCCCTCCCCCCACCCCCCATCAGCACATCAGAGCCTGTTCAGGATGGAAACCATTCTTTTCCCTTTTGACATGACTGGGTGTATGTTCCTGCTTTAAACTTCCTGATGAAGATCATGAAAAAATATAGACTCCTGAGGCCAGGGATGAGTTGCTTTCAAAGTACACTCTAACGCAAGTCAGGTTTGTACAGTTTTGGAGCTGATAGGATTGTGTCTGCAGAGTGCTGTGACCCCACACCTTCACTGCTGGTCCATGAGAATTCTTTCTTCTGTTTTTTATTTTCGTAGATCTAACACACACACCTGGAAGGAAAGAGAAAGCACCTGTTATCTTGAGAGACGCACAAAGATGCCTTCAGAGCAGAGGATGGCAAGCTATATGGTCCATGGACCAAATCTAGCCCACCATCCGTGTTTTACAAATGAAGTTTTATTGGCACACAGTCATGAAGGTTCAGAGTTCTAGCTACCGGCTAGTGTCTCAGCATCTGACCAATCAACTCCAAGCCAACAGCATGGAAGGGAAAGGCAGGTCAGGGGCAATGCCAGGAAGTACTGGGGGTAGTAGTGGCCATCAGCAGGTTTCAGACCAGACACCCACGCGGTGGGGCACATGACAACTCAAGCCTGAGCACAGTGGCCTCTGAGAACATTTGGGGACCACGCTGACACTCGGTCAGCCAGTGCACTGCCCTCTGCCTTAGGCCTCACGGGAATCACAAGTGGAGGGAACCAAAAAGCTAGAACATGGGATCAGAACGGGGCCAGTGGAATCCCAGAGGCCTGTGGAATGAATGGAGCCTCTGCTCAGTGACCTCCAGGGGCCGGTCACCTCTCTGCTGTGGGGCTGTCCTGGGCATTGTACGAGGCTGAGTAGCATGCCTAGTCCACACCCACCACCAGAGTAGAAAAAGCAAACAATTCCAGAGAGCCTCAGACGTGGCACCAATCCCCTGGGATCCAGCCTGGAAACTGCCTTTCCCCAGGGCACATCTGTGCAGTGCCTGCCAGGTGCCAGGCCCTCAGAGCCGAGAACCCATTGCATCTCCTGGAAATGTCATTGCTCAGGCATTGGCCGCCTGGCCCTCGTTCCTTCTGCCCTGGGGCCCTCCGCCCCCCCAGCACAGCCCAGGTGCTGCTTACGGAGCCGTCGGACGCACTGGCGCCCACTTTGTCCCCTCGGGCGCTCCAGCACACCTCGAAGATGCCGCCAGTGCCTCGGTAGCTGTGAACGAGATTCCCACTCTGCAAAGCAAAGTGATCACCCCTTAGGATGCAAGGGGGACTCAGAGCACTGGTGGGGTATAAAGGGCAGCCCCCCTCCTGGCCCCCCGACATGTCATCATGAAAATTTTCATACACAGGTAAGTTAGAATTTCCCCTGAACACTCAGGTGGCTGTAGAAGCGTGCCTCCGACTTCCCTCCACAGGCAGCCTGGGGTGCACGGCTGTCCATGGGATCTGCCTCTACGTTTTGGCTGAGGCCATGCCACCTTCTGGCCAAGGGCAGGGAGACTAAGGCGGACCCTCCCACAAGACTGGAACTGGGCAATGAGGGGGGTCAACACTATATATTTTTTTATATGTAGAGGTGTCCATTTCAAAGTGAGCTTTAGAACATCTCAAACACCTTTGCGATTCGTGAAAGAGCAGTTCGATGAGGTTTTCACAGGGGGCACCACCAAACCGATGATGTCATTTACAAATCCATCGGGAACCATTTCTGTAAGTGCTTCACCAACAGACTCCTGCACACGATTCCTGGAATGCGTGTTCTCTGCGCATTTTCCTACCTGGGCCTTTCAGGCTCACCTTGGTTACTGGGCTGGTTCTGACTAGGGTGCACCACTGCCTTTCCTCCCCCGAGAGGACGTGAGGCAGTCACTGGGGAAGCCTGAGGTCTCAGTGGCCTTCCCCGTGCCCCACGCCTCTTGGCTTGGCATGTCGCACCTCCCCCTGCCACAGGGGGGCGCGTGCTTGGGAGAGCAAATCCACCTGGACGTCAACCAGGCCAAAGGCACTCAATCAGGAAGGTGGACTGGACTAAAAGGGCAGGGGGGAGTCATGGAGTTCATCGGGAGATCAACATGGATCACTGGCTGTTTTCAAGGACTCCACCACACCACCATTTCTCCCTCCCCCTAGGAGGTGAACCAAGGCCGACTGTCCAAAGTAATGCTTTCTACCACACTCGCTCCTGTTCATGCCCACTCTCTGTATTCAGCCTTCGGTTATGCTCAGGTGTGGCCAGAGATGCCCACAGTGGCTCCATATACGACTCGCTACCCAAACACAAAACAGCTCACTCCAACACTCTAGGCGGCAAAACAGCAAACAAATACTCCTTTGGACTGGCCAGCTGGCTACATGGAGAAGCCACAGGAGCTGGTGCAGGACACAGAGGGTCAGAGCTGGCCTCACCCCAGTGGGCTGCACCCCTGGGAAGTTCGGATGGAAGGGAGACCCTTCCCCACCACCCCCAACCTTGGTGTCCAGAGGGCACATCTCTGGTGATAGGAGGACTGGGTGACACCTCCCCGAGATGACTATACCCAAGAAAAGGATGAGGGCAGGTGGGGGATTCATGCCAGGAACTGAGAAAAAGCGACAGAAGGTAGCAGGCATCCTTTTGGGGAAGATCCAGCACCCACACGGAGCACATGGTAGGCGGCATGAAGCCTGGAGTCCTCCTGGGGTGGCCAGCTTCGCTTGAGGCTCCGACGGAGGCAACTGATTCCTCCCCCATGTGCTGTTCTGTGCTAGGTCCCTGAACACAGGACTCTCTGGGCTTTCGTTCCAGAAGGACTCTGGCCATAGCAACCGGGGGATTACCTGAGTGTTCCAGATGTGCACGCACTTGTCAAAGGAGCCACTGGCCAAGTATTTCCCGTCAGGGCTAAAAGCTACACTATAGACAGGTTCCTGGTGCTTGGTTAGCGTGTGGGTGCAAACACCTCGCTCCACATCCCACAGCCGAACCGTAGAGTCAAACGAAGCACTGGAAAGACGGGAGAGAAAACGTCAGCACAGAAACATGTTGGTCTCTGTTTCCCTGAGACGTGTAGCAGATCTCATGAGTTATTTTTACTTCCCAGCTTCTCAGTTTCCAGAGACAAGAAATGGGTATGTTTTTCTCTTCTAAAATACGACTGGTATATACTAAACACAGAGACATGGTTATATAATAAACCTTTTGTTTCTCTCTCTTTTGGTGCTGGTATTAGGGAAGCAAATTGATACCCACATTCATTTGTTTCCTTTGTAGAATGGACTAGAATGGAGAATATACCTTTACAGAAAACTTATGCTTTCTAAGATGCTCCCACCATTTAAAACTCAACATCATTACCAACTAAAATAATGCCGGTAGCTGTATTTGGAAAAATAGTCCATTAAATGAGTAAAAATTTTAATCTAATGGGAATTAAAATATAATCGCATCCAAATATGCCATCACCCTGTGGAGAGCTGCAAATCCAGGGACATTTCCAAATGCAGAAGAGCACCTGCCACAAACCTGTCACCTGCGTCCTTTCTCTGACCAGGGACGCCCTGGTATGTCTCTTTGCTACCTGTTGACCAAAAGGATAGTTTATGCTCATAAGGGCAACAGGGGACATCAAAGCACCTTCCGAGTCATGAAAAAATGAGGCAGCATGTTCCGAATCATAGTCATTCAGCTGGATTTGAGGACAATCCCTTGAAGTAAGAAAACTACAGCCTGCACCTTCTCCGGTTCAGCCTCTAGGTTGAAACATGAATCCCTTCTGGTGTTTGCTAAGACATGGCCTCGGATCAAGCACGTTCGCAAACCAGAGTGCGCTCTGCTGGTGAGGCTGCCCACCCCACTGCCACACGGCCAAACAGGTTCGGGTTCTTCCTTAGGTGCAGGGGGACCTGCCGTCCGCTGCCTCTCCACAGTCCCGTTTCTCTGCGACAGCACAGGAGCAGCCAACGGCTGCTTCGTGGAAACAGACCATCCCTCCCGAGCCTTGTCTTTTCCAGGCCAAACAGTCTCATTGCTTTGGAGCAGTTTCCAGACCCCTAAGTCCCCTCAATGTGGTCTCAGCAGCTCGTTCTCCTAAACGTTCGCATTTAACACAGCACCCGGAGCACAATGCTACATCCTGAATGGGGCCCACGAGTGTCAGGATGAGACAGTTCTGTTGCCAGCGGCCTCAAGTGGTATGGTTTGGGGAGGCCACCTTTGTGTCAGCTAGAAAGAACCTCTAGTCCCAATTCTGGCGTTTGCCTGGCTCGCCACTGCAATCCCCCCAGTGCTGGTGTCCAGGGGTTCACTTTATAAACTGTTGAGTCAGATCCATCTAGGGCCGGGGAACCCTTTATCACTGCTCAGAATCTCACCACCTGCAGCTCTGAGTTCAACGAAGTCCGCAAGCCTGGGCCCAAGCTGAACTCTTTCCTTTCTGTGTTGTGGCAGAATCTCCACCCAGGCCAAGTGCTGAAAAGCCTGAGGCACATAACCAATATAACCAGTCCCTCCAACCAGCCAGCCTTGCAGCTAATGCGATTCTTACCTCCAGTTAGGCGTCACCTGTAAGCTATCTTCTGGGCCCAGCTGACCACTTCATTCAGGTGGAAGGGCATAAACAGATTGGCAACAATGTCCCATCTCTCTGGACATTCATGAATAGCTTTTACTGGCCATGTGGCCGGCTCAGCCACCGTGGGTAAGGCGGTTTTGTAAAATTTTTTAAGTGAAGTATAGCTGATATACAATCTTACATTGACTTCAAGTATATGACACAATGGTTTAACAGTTACCCATATAATTAAATCCTCATCCCCACCACTGTAGTTACTATCTGTCAACATAGGAAGACGTTACAGAATCACTGGCTATATGCTCCATGCTGTCCTACCGTCCCCACGACCAACTTGTTATGATGGAGAATTTTTGCACCCCTTAACTCCAAGCAAGGCTGGCTTTAGGGACCGACACTGGGCTGGGGCCATCTTCCCTTACCTCGCTAACATAATGTTGCAATTTGGGTTGCTGGTGGCTGGCCCGGTGGAACTCCACTTGATGGTGTATATCTCTTTGCTGTGAGCCTGAAGGTCATGGACACACATATCTTGCTTCACACTCCAGATCTAGACGATGCATTGGGAACAGTGTCAGCAAACACGGTTTCTCCAACCGGGATGGTGCCACATCATTTACTCTGTGAGGGATCATCAGGCTTCCGACCCTGGGAGGCTCACCACCCCGTGGGGTGCAGGTCGCACACCAGCATGTCACTGGCCAGGGAGCAGCCAGGCAGAGGCCGTGAGAAAGGCCTCGGGGGAGGGAAGGATTCTCAGCAGGATCCTTGACTGATAAGGAGTTAAGCGGATGACAGTGGCATGTGGTTAGCAGTGGGGAGCAGTCAGAGAGGCAGGAAATGCCCACATGACAGTATCATCACTGAGGAGCAACGACCTGCACTGCTTATTTGGGGTCACCCAGGATCACAGAGCCCATCCTTTCGGACTCCTTTACCTTTAATGTCATGTCATCGGAGCAGGATGCCAGCAGCATTCCAGAGGGATCCCACTTGATGGCATTGACCTCATTCTGAAAGGGGTTTAAAAAGAAAGGAAGGTCTGTGAGCAGACTACACAACCTTCCAGCAGGGGGCAGGCCAGCGCCGTCATCTCTGCAAAGAGCCTGTTTGCATTTTCCCTGGATCGCACACAGGGCCACCTGAGAATCCATCTATTTTCCTCTTTTATTTCCCCAGCCTTTCTCGTTTATCTAAAGGCACAGCCACATAGCACACGTAACCAGCCACCCATCCATATTTCTCTAAGGAAAAAAAAAAATCACAACTAGGAAGGAAGTCAATGAATTTACATATAATAATGGTACATAAAAACCAACAAGAGCACAGTCATTTAAAAATTGACTGAATTGTCTCATGCCCTTTTAACACAACAGCTGTTCTGTCAAAATCCCTACAAGACCTTTCTCTTGGTGCTGACAATGGGGGCGGGGAGAAGATGTAAAGAAATAAGGCATGAACACAGATGGCCAAGGGAAATGATAGGTAAACACGCAGGGCAGAAACAAAACCTTCCAGCGGGAGGGGACTTGAAATCCAGAGCCAAGGAGCAGGTAAACGAAATATTCCGGTAGAGTGCAAGGGGAAAGTTCTGGCAGGTATGTGCTACGGGCCGGGGGAGAGAGGAGGCTGTAGGCAGCCTTCCAGTTCAGCGACAGGTAACCCTGGGGCTCAGTCCTGAAGCCTGAAGGCAAATGCACCCCAAGGGACAGGCGCCACCAGATGCAAAATGTGGAGGCGGGGGACGTCATGCTGCGCATGGTCAGCTGCGGGGAAATGTGGGAGCAAGGCAGTGGGTCTCGGGAATTTCTAAGTATGGTGACCGGAGAGCCCCATCTGCATAGGACTCATGCCTGCTGTGCTGGCCTAACCATGAACTAACTTCACACTCGTAATTTCCCAATTAACTTTATGCTCCTAAATGCTCTGGTGTGGATGAGCAATTTTACAGTCGCGCTTCTTGCTAAGGACACTGAGAGTTTGAAGGGTGTGAAGTGACAAGGCCACCATTCTGTGTTCCGTGTGGTATCAATGGTTGGATGGCCTGGAAAAGAGGGAGGAAGGGAGCTTGGAGACCACAGAGCAGCCCCCCGGGGGGAGCGTGGGAGGACGAAGAGGTCAGCCTGGAGATGGGTGTGGGTCCATGTGTGTGCGCGCATGCGCGTGCGTGAAGAGGCGGAAACCCGGAGGACATGGTGAGAACTAGGGGCCTGATGAGGTGTCGACCCAGAGACAGGCTCAGCCAGGACGAAGGCAGCTTGGGTGAGAACCCACGCACAGGTCCCCTAGAGCCCAGGAACGCGGACCTGGTCCCCACCGGCTGTCTCCAGCCAAGCCCACCTTCCATCCTCCAGCAGGGAACAAACTCCTCCCTGGGCGTGGAGTTCTCTCCCCCTCCCCATGCAACCCCAGCCACAATTCCCAGAAGGCATCCAGAAATGGCTCACAGGGTCTCCGGAGGACACCGGCTCTCCTACACTTAGCTCACGTCTCGTGCAGAATGACGGAAGCTGCAGCGAGATGGATTTAGAGAGCCAAGTGGTGTGGTGGCAGTAAAGTCCCAAGCGGAAGCTGGACAGCTGCAAGTTGTAAGGATTTCCCATGAAATATTGGGGATAGTCTAGGGTTGGAGGAAAGAAGAGTTCAGGCCAGAAAAGTAAAAAGAAGGACCAGTTGATAGGCACAAGGAGACTGATGCCTGGGCCCTAAAAGTACCTTCTTTCACAAGCAGGGACCTATGGGGACAGAGGCTGGAGAAGGCGAGTTAAGGACATGAACAAGTACCCAGGACAATGGCATTTATATGGTTACATAAGTGGCAAGGCAGTGGTTAAAGGTGGGGTGCATTGCAGGTATGAGGTTCTCAAACCCAGCAGGCCTTCCAGGAGGCTGAAGTTTGAGGGTGTTGGGACATTACAGGGATCAGCTCTGGGAAGGCTCTGAAGAGCCTCATGTGCCATGAATTCAGAGATGTCAGCTGGCACCTGAGTTTCTTGGATTAAATGTCAACATTTTTTACCAAATTTAGGAACATTTGGCCATTATTGCTTCAAGTAATGTTTCTGTTCCATTTTTTTCGCTCTCCCTCCATTATACATATATGCTGAGTGCTTCATACTGTGCCACAGGTTATTCATTTGGCCACTATCTAACAGGCCTCTAGTCATTTGTTCAATCTGTTATCAAAACTGGCTAAGCTCTCTTTAGGTTCAGTAACCTTAATTCTGCAATCGTTAAACCTGTCCAGGAAGATTTTCATTTCAGACATTAAACCCCTTAGTTCTCAGATTTCCACTGGACTGTTTTAAGAAGAGTTTTCCTTTCTCTGCTGACATTCCCCATCTATTCACCCATTACGAGCATCCTTTCCTTTACGTCCCTTGTACCTTTTACAATACCTACTGTATAGTCTTCCCTGCAGAATCTGACATCTGGCTCATTGCACGGTCAGTTTTTCCTCCACTGCCGGCCCGTAACGGGGTTTAATCCAACCCGAGAGCTACAGGAGCCCAGTGCCAAAGGGGCATACTCGGAACTCCAATTTACGTGTGTCCTTGGAAGGTTTTGACTGGGCGGTCACAGCCGAGTCTGCAGACGTGGATACACATGTCTGTGCTACAGGAGGCAAAGGTGGTGTTGTTCTGCCAGTCTACATCGAGAGCAGGGGCTGTGGAATGGGGAGCAGAGGGAGGACATTGGCATCGACTAGGTGTGCACACAACTTGGCTGACTTTGACCATGAACAGCATAGTCAAGAAGCCTTATTTAGTAACATGATAAAAAGTGCCCCAGTGTGAACACAGCCTATTCCCCTCACAGACCTTAAAGACCTCTCCTTCCACATTTGGAGGGATGAGCAGATGCTCTGCAGAGACCCTGGGATGCTTCCCATTTGCATGCAGAGTGTCCTGCTCCCCTGGCCCAGGTGGGCACAGGTGGGTGAGAAGCATGAGATGCCCGCCCCTGCACTCTGTTGGTCCCAGGCATGTCCCTGTGGACGGCCAACCTCACTTGCTTTAGACAGAGAGAGAAAATGAGAACAGGAAGATCTCATATCCTACATTCAAGATATCCCGATTTAAAAAACCTGCAAACACATTAATGCATCCCACCCGAGGGCTGGATACTCATGGCTGACAAGACCCCTCTGGGGACACAACTGGGCTGACGGCTCAGGACTGTGATGAACACTCCCAGTGACTCCTGGGTCTTTCTGAGGTCCAAGTGGCCCCAAGAATTCTGTTGAGGGTCTTGGATGGGGATGGCCCCCTAACCTCAGGGTGTGATCCCCTTTCTCCTGACCTCCCACTCTACTGCTTGGCATCTCTCTCCTGACACCTCCTTGCTTCTAGGAGAATTAGAGGCTTGGGTTCCGATAAGCTTCTGGGTGACACCATTCTCATCAACTGGCACAAGCGTGTCTTGTGTGTTTCTTAAAGGTGAGTCAGCACTGAATTGAGAGAAGCCAGCTCAATGCCCTTGGGATATGCTAATGATCAGATGGCCCCTTCCCTTCTGCCCTAACATTTCCTAGGACTCAGTCATTTTTGAATTACCAAATCAATCAGTCAATCAACCAATAAAAATAAAAATACTCACCGGAATGAAACGGAAACTGCTGTTTGGCTTCCCCTGTGTGGGCGTCCCAAATTATTGTTGTCTGTGCTCCGCAAACAAAAAGAAAAAGTCAGGAACAATTCTTCTTGCAAAGTTTTCTCTAGAGAAATTTGTTGGACAAGGAAAGACCACGAGCCTCTCTTCCTTCTACACCAGCACCGTCCAGAGGAGACAGAATGGGAGCCACACAGGTCATTTCTAATTTTCTAGTAACCCCATTAAAAGAAAGAAACTGGTAAAAGGAATTTAAGCCATTTGTTTTCACTCCAATATGGCCAAAATGTTATTTTTCCAACATAGAATCAATGTAAAAATATTGATGAGCTACTTGGCATTCTCTCTCTCTCTCTCGGGAAGGTTTTTGGCATCTAGCATGTGGTTTACGGACCTTCACAATCGGGATGGTCACTTTTTATGCACCCAACAGCCACAGGTGTGCCTCAGGCTTAGCTCCCCCAGCTGTAACTGTTACCTGGAACATTACCAAACCTGTTAGGGGCTCCCTTCACCCCCAGAGACCCAGTGAAAACCCTGCAGGGAAGCATATCTATCCAGCTTTCTGGCACATTTCCAAATGAAGAGCAGCAGACACTGGCGTTGCTGAAATTTCCTTCTGTGAACTGGGGAGACCAGATATAGCACAGCAGCTGGGCTACACCGGGGTCAGGCACCACCTTAGTGGTGTATGAGTAAGGGGAAAACATCATGTCTGCTTTGGGAGCATCTGAAAAACACATTAGCCACTCTGGGTTAAACACAGGGCAAGTCATGCAAGCCTCCTCACAAACGACATTTCCTCTGGACGTTAGCTCTCAGAACATTATCACTCCTGCCGCTGTTAGTGACTAACTGACCCAGAGTAACAGAATTCCAAATGAGCACTTCCCCTGAGCAGGTAGCTCATCAAAGGTAGAAAATCAGGAATGAATGTAACAGATTCCCTGGAGCAGGAAGGTGAGGGAGCACAGAACTCTTGAGAAGTATGTGAGAGTCAAAGGGCAGTAGCTTCCGGCCACCCAGGGTCTGGTTCCGCCCCCACCTGCACTCCATACCAGTGGGTCCCCACACAGAGTAGCGAAATTTCCTTGGGGCTCCATTTCCTCCTGTGTGAGAAGGAGGCGTTGCCAGGGCCTGCCTCCTGTCTTGGGAGCATGGAATGAGCCAACTCAGGTAGTAAACTGCTCATTAAAGGTTGGCAATCACTTCACACATTATGTTAATGATCCAATGAGCAGTACTGATGACCAGCCACGTCCAAGACAATGTGCTGTGCGTGTGTCATATTTGAATTAGAACAGCTTGGGGGAAATCTGATGGTAGTGTGTCGACCACAGTAGCCCAGCTGTTTTTATATTAGATATTAGGCTGCCAAGTTTGAATGAAGGGTTTATGGGCTTAACAGAGAGGTAGATAAAGAATGAATGATTCATTGACATACAGGGTTATACTTCAGTGTAGAGCTCAGCAAACTTTCTCTGTTAAAGGCCAGATAGTAAACATTTTAGGCTTTAAGGGCCATGGGTCTCTGCTGCAACTGGTCAACTCTGTTATGGTGGGAAAGCAGCCATAGGCCATTCTAAACAAATGGGTGTGGTTCTGTGCCAATAAAACTTTATTTACAAAAACAAGTGGTGGGCCATCGTTTGCCAACTACAACCATGACTTTCTCTGAGGGGGGCAATGTTTACAGGTCATGTCTATTATTCTATATTAGTTTTTAGAACTTGAGTGAACAGAAAGCAGTAGCTTTACCAGATTTTCAAATTATCCCAAAGCTATTACAGACATACAGGCATCTGGAATTCAGACGAAAGTAGAGTATTCAGGCACATTTTGTAGTGGCACAAATTGAAGTACATGCTTTTCTTCCCCTCCTGCACTTCTCGATAATACTTCTTTCCCAAAGCAATGACTCTGAATTCTCACTGAGTCTTATGAATGATACAACCGTTTTCATTCAATGTTCACGACTCCCATCTCCTGACAGCTGGGGAAACAGAAACCCAGCGAGTGAGATGCGCTGGACTAATCAGACTCCTGGTAGGAATGACGCTTGAGTGACGTCTACACTCCTGATGGCCTTAAGCTCCTACACCCAGAGACGGCTTTTCCGTGCACCTGGTGTAACATCATCATGTCCGCCTGGCAGCCCCTCCCAGGCACAAATTTGTAAATTCTCTGTCTGCTCTGCAGGCTGTCAGGGGAGGCACTTGTGTGTGCATGTGTGTGTGTGTGTGTGTGTGTGTGTGTGTGTGTGTGTGTTTGCTTGACTCCTGTTCTCAGAGAAATCTGCCATCTACAGTGGGAAGTAGCAATGCATCAAATGAGGAAAACAGGAGCCTGGTTCAGAAAACAACTGGTGCTACTGAAATCACTCAGCAGGTCAAAGTTTACAAAGAGTTCACCCCACATCTGTTTGCTTCTTCAAGCATTGGATAAACAGTTTGGGGATTTCCTCTTATCACTGATGATATACGCCCAGAAAGGAGGGGGAGCTGTGTGAAGTTCTAGAAGACGCACAACACATGAAGAGAGGACGTGTTTTTAAAAGCAGCAGCAGATCACAAAAACAAACAAGGCCCAAACAAGTTCTTTTGATATGTTCACAGGAAGCAGAGCTCCTTAGAATTGAAAGAAACCACACGGTTACATAGAGATCAACAATAAATGAGCATCTAGAGATCAAAGGGCTGTATTTGAAGTGATACTCACTTTATCCACACCTGCACTCAGAATGTAATTCCCCTTTTTGTTCCATTTCAAGGCGAAGATGGGGCCTTTATGTTGGCCTAAGGTGCTGGCCAGGTTACCTGTCACACAGAAAAACCAAACAAACATGCTAGTGTCAGAGTCACAGCCCATCCTCTCCGTGACAGTGTGCCAAAGCGCCCTCCCCCCGCCCCCCGCCAGACCCCAGTGAGAGTGAGAGGCAGGACTTACCATCTTCCGTCCAGATTCTTGCAAAACCATCATACGAGCCTGTGGCCAACAGTGTCCCGTCGCTCTGGAAGAAACAGGCCAACAAGAACTGCTGATGGGCAGCTCTGAAAAGGCAGAGGGCCTCTCCCCTCATGGCACGGCTAGAATGCGCCTCCGCCAGTAAGTGGTTCCCAGTTCAGAGCCTCACAGATTGCATTTGAGTCCTCGCGCTCCTACGGCTTGTAAATTAAAATGTAAGCCGTTAGCCCCAAGGAGATGAGGGAGCAGGAAGAGACACCGCCACCATTCACCTGTGATGACACGATTAAAAACACCACGTCGGAAGTTCTGAGACTTCTGGAGACTTGAAGTAAGCTTTAAAAATGTATTTGTATACAGAGAAGCGGAGCATTGGTGGTGAGGTGCCAGAATGTGGAGAAATACTGTATAAGAGTGAAGAGGTGTGTGCGTCCTTCCCACAAATGCACACAACACCCTCTGCCGAAATGCCCAGGTGGAGAGCCGGCCTTCCTTGCCTGTGTATTACGTCTCCCCAGCACGACTATCTTGGGTCCCCTTGGCCCTGCTTCCTGCTGTGAGGCTTCCCTAATAAAACCAGCTGGCAAATGTAGGTTAACGATGGACAGGGAACAGCTACTGAACGCCCAGGTAGCCGCCTGCCTGGCCCCACGTCCTCAGGAGCCCTCAGAAACAGACAGCACCCACAGCACCAGCCACCCCGGGGCAGGCTGATGAATGGGGCCTGGCGTGCACACGGCTCTTAACGTTCCAGTCCAGCGAGGTCACGTCTTTGTTACTTGGGACGTCATGGCCTCCTTCTCGTATACAGTGCCTCAACACGAGCTGTGTGGACCCCCCGTTGCTGTTTTCATTAAGGTTCCATATCCTTGCAGTTGAATCTCCAGATCTGCAAGATGAAAACACTCAAGCATTCAGCTTTCAGGCAAGGGCACCAAAGCCCATTGCCGCCTGCTGCAGACCAGCCAGGCATCTCTGGCCTGCGGCATTTCATCCTGCCCCTCACTGGCTGTGCTGCACTCAGTGATTTTAAATGTGTTTGCATCATTCCCTGCCCCACTGAGAACAGGGCTTGGAATGCGGGCCTCCCTACAACCTATGGTATCTGGAGGAGTGCAGACGGAGCGCCTCAAGCCTGGGCCTGCGTGCATGGAGAAGATGCCGCAAACCGGGTAGGACAGGGGCGGATGGCCCAGGACACAGAACACCCGAGAAGAGCAAGCACCTTCGGTCCCCCAGACCCTGGAGTGCCCCCAGCCTCACATCCTTACCCGGAAGCTAGGAGATCACTGACAGGGTTCCAGGCACAAATGAACACCTCAGACTCGTGGCCCCGAAGGACTGTGGCTTTGTTGGGTGGAATCTCAACGTCTCCGTCTATTTCCATTGGTTTTGAATGATTATCTGTCACAGGCAACAGGAAAAGAAAGACACACGGTTGACCAGCACCAAAGAAATTCATTCTCGGGGCACTGTCATATGTGAAGTGTCTTACAATGTACTACATGGTATCACCTCTGGTGATTTATAGCTACGTCATGGCTTGCATGTAATTTAGTAAATATCTTACGCTTCTTTATTTGACAGTCTCCAAATAAAAAGAGGAATAAAATAAGATAAAACTGACAGAGGAAAAAAAACAGCTATTTCTTCTATATACCCAGAGCCAGGCTAATGTCTAACAACCACCAGAACAAAACTGGAGAGATGCCAAGTACCCACGGGCATCTGAGCAAACCCTGAAGATTCGTGTTCTCTGGATGGGACAAGTCCTTTTATGAGGAGCAACTTCCCAAGGCGACACACTTTATCTGTGAGGCCCCCACCAGTGAGGTGCTCATTACCTCAGAACCCCCCACCCTGCACCCGCTGCCTTTCAAACCTTCATGCCAGTCTCTTATTGGAGCCACCTTTGCATTGGACTTTTCTCTACTGGCTTGCTAAATGAATAAGCCCGGCCTGGATAAACTGTGGGGTTCCGACTCTGGGTTCCCGCAAGAAAAGCCAGGTTGAATGCCACCCTCAAGAGAACCATCCTGGAAAGTGGCTATTTTTCTCCCAAGTGGCAGAAGAGCAGATTCTTAAAAGTCAGAACGAAATAGAAGTTCAGACACCAACCAGGTCTGGCCTCAGCCTGCCTAGCAGCAAGATGGAAACCGGCTGTAGGCAGCACAGGCTGCAGGACACAAAAAGTTGATTCCACAGGACAGCGAGCCAGGGAGGAGGCCGTGCAAGCCCTCCAACGTACTCCTGAGTGCAAGAATTAACCCCCGGGTAATCATGACATGAAGGCTATCTGTCTTTGAGCTGACACTGTGTCCATGGCCATGCTCCATTAGAGTTTAAGATTTAAAATAAACTGGCACAATTTAAAAGCTTGCACAATTTCTGTCTTTGCAGACACAGATTTCTCGAAGGTCACCCAATAACAAATTACTTTCTATGATGGAAGACCAAGAAAACAATGATTATTTTGCTCTTATTTTCTTTCTTTGAGAAAAGTTGAGAGTTAAAGCCCATGTGAGTGGACAGCCCAAGCGACTCGTGGTACAAGCCACATATTTCCTTCTTTGGCTGCCCATCATCGTAATAGCGAGGATGGAGCCTGCCCGTGGGAGGTCTTCTCATTTCAGACCAGAATGCTGGCCTATGTCATTGTACTGTAATACAGTCTGCATCAGAGCCTACTTGGGCTTCCCACTCCATGCTGGACCTGCCTCTCTAGCCAGGGAGAGACCTGAAGGCATGTGCCCAGGCCTGTGGAGGATAACCTGCTGCATGGCTTGACTGCATGTGGCAGCCTCACCCAAGATGCATATATATGGGTGCACATACACACACACTCATAGCATGAGGGCACACTCATGTACTCACAAGCGTATAAAACACAGGCACACACCCACATATGCATATATATGGGTGCACACACACACACACACACATGCTGTGAACTTAGGCCCCAAAGTAGAGTCTCTGAGTTTATAGGCAACATGTCAAAGTGCAGTCAGGGCCCTTGATAAAAATTCGGTCTCCCTGACTTACCTGCCAAGCACTTGGGGGCAACTACCTCAATGAATTCACCTCCTGGGGTTTTGCATAAGCCAAATACGGCAGCACTTGCTCTCGGTGACCTGGTGCTTCTCCGTGACCCTGACATCGTGGCCGAACAAATGGAAGGCCGATGACGGAGCCGGGGCCTTGATGAATGAAACCCTTTTGGGGGGATAGTAACCAGGTGCTTCTCCTCACGTATGAAATGAGTTCTCAGAGTAGTACTATTTCCTAAAAGAGGATGCATGATTCAGGAATATGGCGCATGGGGATTCCAGTGACAGGACAGTGCATGGCGCCTTTCTGGCTGAACAGTAACCAAGCACTAAAAGCACCTTGTGCGAAGCACACGGCAGGCAGACCCTCGGGGAGTCTGGGCTTGACCAGCTTAGGACAGAGAGACCAGATGCCCAAAGCTCCTGGAGCCCCGTACTTACTGATTGCATGCGCACCATTCTCTTCCCCGTTCACCGTGGCTTCTCCGTTCTTTGGTGGGTTTTGCTGGGAGACAGCTGCTGGGGTTGCTGTGGCTGCCGCTGTGGCCGTGGCTGTGGTTGTGGCTGCCGCCGCCGAAGCCTGCTGCTGAGCCAGCTTCTCCCGGAAGGCCTGCTGCCGCGTCTGCACGACGTCAGGCATCACCGCGTCAATCAGGGACAGGGACTCTATGGGGCGGCCATCAAACACTGTGCCGTCCTGGGGAGAGGCAGGGGGACAGCCTTCAGCTCCCGTGGCACTGGGCTCCAGCCAAGGTGGTGTGGGCTGAGGCTGCACGTGGGGCCGTGCAGGGGACTGGCAGGTTGGGAGGGTGCACGTGGGCGCTGTGCATTGGTGGGGTGCGGTCAGCAGGTACAGGCAGAGGCTGCACGTGGAGGCCGTACAGCGGCCAGCAGGGGAGGAAGGAGAGGCTGCATGTGGCGGCCGTGGAAAGGCCGACAGGGTAGGGGACGCCCTGGGGGCTGCAGATGAGCCCCGGCACGGATGGAGGACTGGGTGTACTAGCCGCTGTAACATCCGGTAAACACCAACCTGAAGTGGGACATTGTGGACACCTGAGCCCTTGCACTTGACTTTGTGACAAAACCTGTCCCTGAGGCAGTGGTTTTCAGCTTTGTCAGGGAAGACTCCCCCTCATTCACCCCCACCCCGGGGCTCTGGCAAAGCCTGCAGGCATGTTTAGGTGTCACAACTTGGGGGGCGCTCCTGGTGCCGGTGGGTGGAGGTCAGGGGCTGCCCACCTTCCCACAGTGCACAGGACGCCTTCCCCCGACCCCCCTGCCCCGCCGCTGAGTACCACCAGGTCCCAGAGGCCTGGGGGGCTGGGGTTGAGAAAGCCAGTCCAAATGCTGTGACAAGGACAGTACGTCTCTGAGAAGCAGCAGCCCTGCCGTGTGGGAGACGCACCTCCGGCCCAGAGGGGACTCCTTCACCACCCAGAGTCTGTTCCTGGCACACCTGTCCATCTGAGTTAACAGAACACGCACATCCTGTCACGCGAAACGACTTCTTAGGCTCAGGATGGGCACCGACAGAGTCGCGATGTGCTGACCTGGTCTCATTTAGCTGCGATGCACATATTTTGAACTTTTGACTCTCTGGTTTCCACGTCCAATGAAAAAATTTCCACCCACACATAAAAACATGGGGGGAAGTTCTTTTCTGAGAAAGCACTCCAAAGATCAGAGTCACATGAAACTCAGGGCTTCTGGGTTGTGGCTGCTGGATGTGCAAACACATTTTTGTATGTTCTGAAGCTGAGTTATCTCAGAAATGGGGAAAACGGAAAAAGACACAGCAACTGAACGGTACCTAAGTGAAACATGACCGCAGCCGACTTCTGGTTACAATAGAGTATTTGAAAATAAGGCAACAATACAAAAAGTGTAAACAGGTAGAGCTGGTCACCTTTCAGCCACTCACGCCTCGGTTCAGGCTGTCGCCTCCCTCCTCTGCAGGTTCGCGCCTGGGATGGACGACTACGGTGTAAACAGTGGTGACTGCTTGGAGTAAGAACACACTTTCTGGTTTAAGCTCTAAAAGCACCCTGTCTCCCTTTTTAATGATCAGTAACCTAAGTGACAAATATTCACCTGTGGACACACTGGAATTTGAACTGTGGAGGAAGAGAAGGATACGGGGACCTCTCAACACACGACCGGGGTGGGGTGCGGTGGGGGGGGGGGCAGTGAAACGGAACCGAAACCTCACATGATCTGAGAGCTGGCAGGGCTGCTGGGGTGGTGTACTCCCATCTCCCACCTGCCTGTTTTGCAGAAAAAGAGACCAGATGGGGCTCAAAGACCTGGAGGAAAACACCCCCGAGCTCTGACACACACAGACACACAGACACACACACACACACCCGTGTAAGAAAAAGAAAGAGAAGGAAGAGAAGGTGACACTGTTGGGGACAAAAGAGCACAAGGCAGGTAGAAACTCGGGTGTTTTCAGAGATGTGGGTTTTTGGAAAATGGTAGAAAAATGCAAGTGACAGAACACAGGATGTATGACTTTGGAATTTCTGAAAGAGCTCTTTGAAAACCAACGAAAAAGTGAACTTAAATGCTATAAATAAGACAGGCTTGTAAAGATGAAGTCCGTTCTAAGGAAGACAGGATGGAGGAAACCTGGAGGGATTTAAGGAGGCGGGCCCAGGGGGCGTGATCCTGGAAGGGGTGATTTGAGCAGCTGGTGGCCCTGGGACCACACACACGGGCGCCTGACCACGTGAGCTGTGTGGGCTGACTCATCAGGCAAGGCCAGGGAAGAACAGCGTGCCCTGAGCAAGGTGGGAGAAAGACCTAAGGATTGGCATGGGGTGTGGCCATGCCGAGAGAGGTCGCAGAGATCAGGGGAAGCCCTGGGCGTCCTCACAGAAGAGCCCCGAGTGCAAAACAGAGGTGGCGGGGAGAGCAGCCACTCTAAACCAAATCACCCCATTTAAAAGCTGGTACAAAATCCGCTCGAGTACTCATTGTGCGCCCATCTAAAAAGGACGGGATACAAGCAAATCGGGGCAATTTAAAGTGCTTATCACTGGTCCGTTTCCCGCAAAAGCTCTACCACGACCACAGTAACAAGACCACTGCTCAAAATCCTCTTGCACACGAGTCATCATCCTCTTTCTGATTCCTGGCTTTGCCCATCAGATTCACACTAAATACAGATTCTACTTCAACATGTCTCACAGCAGGAAAGGCGAGCATTTTCTGTGCCTGTACAAGGCAAATGTCTGCTCTGCAGTGTGAAGCAGCTAAATACCTGCTGAATAGTTTTCAGATTTGGGGACCTACTGCAACACTGTGATGACACAGCTGGTAACTGTGCACACGAATGGAACAGAAACGTGTGGGGGGCACCGAAAGCTTGCTCCTTGTGTATTGATGACTGCTACCTCTTAGTCACATAACACATTACCACAAGTGAAAGAAAAGTCACCCTAAGTTACTGTCAAATCCCTAAGGGACCTGCCTGTTGGGTTGAGGCTCGCTTACCGAGCTGCGCACGCTACCCCGGGGCCTGCTGGCTTTGGGGCCAGGCAGCCGCCTGGCGTCCCAGGGTACACGTACCTCGTTGATGCTGATCTCAGCTTCCACATACTGCAGTCCCTTCTGCAGGATGGAGATAAGGGCAGCCGGGGGCACAAGTGTCCCATTGATGTTCGACTGGCTGATGTGGCTCTCGATCCCGAATGTGAATGCCGAGTGGGAAAAACCTGTAATGAGACAGGGAAACCAGGTCTCCGGGAGGCCTGAACTGCAGGGCGGAAGGCACAGCCTGCGACACCCACAGGGGGCACCTTATGTCAAAGGCACTTTACTGGCGGGGCCAGATATTGCTATCACAGGACGCCCAGCTTCAGATCTGGGGTGAAGTGAGCACGCAGAGAGGAAGAGATACAGAGACTGATGTTTGTACAAAACAGTTTTAAGGGTGAGCCACTTCAGCTCCCTGAAGAGCACAGCAGAAGATGGAGTCTGCCCTGCAAGAACGTTTCTGTTGCAGAAACCAGAATCCAGTCTGCACGCTTTCAACCTCACTCTCAGCATTACCGCCTGGGCACAGCTGTCCTCTTGCTTTCCACCTGCCCCTCGCTGTGGGGGTCCCGGGAACCCTGCCCTCAAGGGGTCTCTCCACGACACCCTTCCATTGCAGCTGGCTCGGCCTGCATGCTGGTGGGCCATGTAGCTCCTGGGGAACCCCCCCCCCCAACAAAGCCCGGAGGCATGCCGTACTCAGGCTGCTCCGAGACGCCACCTGCTCAGCCGGGCAGTGTGTGGGTCCTTCCCGTCAGACCCAACACCCTGGGGATGCCTCCCTTTCGTCGCCAAAACACAACCCCACTTTGCAATAAACACAACACTCACCAGAGGGGAATATTCCTCCAGGAAAGGTATTTTGTCCCCTTCTTCCTGCCCACCTCTCGTCTTTCCACCCTGTTCATTCCCCATTGCTTGATTATATACAATTTCTGAAACATGTTATTAACTTATGTTACAGAGGAATGTGGTAGCCGCTGTAAGGACTATGATCCGTTACATACAGCCTTGTACCTTTCTTTATAAAACTAGCTACCTGAACCAGGTGGCACAGAAGAGCCCCTCTGAGGGGCTCCTTGGCGTTCCTCTGTTCCTGCTCTTGGAAGGAAGGCCTTTTACCATCAGCCTCACCTCTTCCTTCCAACTTGGTTTCTCTCTCCACCCACCTTTCCCCACCCACTCCTCACAAACCAGAACCGCCCAGTCCTGTTAGGCAGACTCTTGCCTGCACCTGTGCCACGCTATAGTCTTATCTCCAAGCTTTATCACTCAGGTTTCCAGCAATTGCGGTGTAGACTAGAAAATCCGGGTGACCTGATGGAGCAGGACTAGAAAAAGTGGCTCCCTGGGCTGACTCCATGTGGCCCGGAGTCTTCCCCGTCAATGTACAGGCCACAGTGATTTTTCCCTCCTAAGAATTCTTGACTCTTGATAGCCGACGGTCCCACCCATTGGGCTCCTGACCGTTTGTGTCTCCACCAGCTGACGGGGACAGAACACTGCATTTCCAGGGCCATTTCTTATCGTCCTGGTACCCCTAAAAGGCCTAGTTGCAGGGCACGCCCACTGCAATAATAATAGAAATGAAAAATAAAGCCAGCCCTTATTTGTTGCCTATTCTTGGCCCAGTTCGGGTGCAAGAACTTGCCACGAATTCCTTTAAGCTTGCTGATCACCCTCTGCAGCCCCTCCCCATTGCTCAAATTTCCCTTTTGAGGATCAGGTCCTGGGATCTCACAAGGCTCCAGCCACTCAGCTTGTAGGCCTGGGGCTGTGATCCAAAGTCGGGTGGGGGGGTACCACTGGGAACTCCACTGGGAACAGCTACTGAGCACCCCGTTCAGCACAGCACAGCTGCTGACAAAGGGCTCCTACTGACGGAGCAACCCTGGATGAGCAGTGAAGCTTCTGGTCAATGTCTAAGTGCATTAGTGCCACTGTAACAAAACAGCACAGACCAGGCGGCTTATGAACAGCACTGATTCCTCCCAGTTCTGGAGGCTGAGAAGTCCGAGATCAAGGTGTCGGCAGATCTGCTGTCTGGTGAAGGCTGTTTCTGGCCCAGAGACGGCCATCCTTACCCCGTGTCCTTCCATGTGAAAGGAGTGAGGACGCTCTCTGAGGTCTCCTTTATCAGGGGCACTGACCCCATTCCTGAGGGCCCCACCCTCATGACCAAATCACCTCCTGAAGGCCTCACCTGATCCTAATGCCCTCACCTTGGGGGTTACATTTCACCGTATGAATTTTGGGGGCACACAAAAGGTAGTCTATGGCAGAATGCTCGACCCCCGCTCCCTTCCTTCCCTCCCTCCACCAATACCAGGCCACAGAATACCTACTTAGGCAGAGAGTGGTATCTGACCACATTACCACCTTTAACCAAACCTGGGCACTTTAGGCCCGTTATCCCGGTGTTCAGAGTGACTCTTCACGGTGGTGCTATTACTATTTTATACACGAGAAAGGCAGATATTGGAGAAATTAGGTAACCCATGTCAGGGTCATACATGCGATGAGACACTGACCTAGAATTTCAATTTGCCACTATGCGATTCCAGGGCTCGTGTGTTCACCCTGCACGCTGAGACCACAGGCACAGGAACCAAAAAAAATCCCTGGGTGGGTGCCAATTCCCTTCCCAGTGGGACTGCTGGTGGCTCTGACCAGCAGCACAGGCTGCAAACAAGTGTGCAAAGCATGGGTACCCCAAGGCCTGAAGATGTCCTGGGCTTCCCTGTGCATCTGGGTGTTTAAAGGCTGAGCATGCATGTTGCCTGCCTAAGTTTCCTCTCTGTGGCAAGGCTCTTCAATGAGGATTCGGTTTCTAGAGCATACGGGTGACAACATTCGGTGAAGGCTCAGGGGAAGAAGGGGACAGATGAGTGAAGATCACGTGGTGTTGGCCTGAGGCCTGCGTAAAGACGGTAGCCAAAAGCAATCTGCCAGAACGATTCCCCAGTGCAGGGAAATGATGAAGCAGGACAGCTCCACGGGGCACCAGGACCTCGAGCAGCTCTGCCTGCTCGAGGGCCCTCCCTCCACGGGAGAGGCGCAGGCACCACTGGAGACAGGACACCTTCACAAGCACTTGCTGTCCTGTGGAAAGGAGTCCTCTCTGCCTAAACGGACACGGGCTGCATTTCTTCGGGTGGGCCTATGCAGCGCCTCTGAATCAACGGTTTCCCAGGCCATTTGCTTTAAGGACTTTCTTCTTGGATTCTGGCCACACTGATTTCATCACGGCAAGCAAGAGGGTGGTGGGGGAAGACGTCAGGAACAGGCAGGAGCGCTGGGTTCTGCCCTCGGTCCACCATGAAGGGCTGAGTGCCTGGGCCGGGTGGCCAGGTCTCTTCACGTGCTGATTCTCCGCTGCCTTTTCTACGGTGTGGGGGTAAGTATGGCGAGGAAGAACCAGATGCAGGGGCAGCAGGTCGTGGGCACTTCTGACTGTGGAGAGAAGACCACGAGCTTGTGGAGACCCCGAGCTCCATGTCTCCTTGACCACACAGTGGGTGAAATGCTCCTAGGGGGCTCTGCGGCTCTGAGGTCCACTCGCCGTGATGTCTACACTGTGTCAGCAAGCCCTGCCACGGCACGTCCTCTTAGGCCACGGTGTGCTGTGGGGTGGCCTCCTGGGAGTCTCCAGGCAGAATGCTTCTCCTCTGGGGCTGGCCCAGCCTCTGTTACTGCCACAGCCTGTCCCTGTCCCTCCCATTCGGACTCCCAGGCCGATGAGTGTGTCCATTTGCACGTTGCTGGAGTGGCAGGACTTCAGTGCCTCTGCAGCTTCCCTGAAGTTTTCAATGGACCTCGTCTTTGGTCTGATGGGACATTAGCAGGAGTAAAGAACCAAATGTCAACGAGAGATGCGGAAATACTCAGGACTGGCTCAATGGCAGGTGTGGAAACTGTTGAAAATGAAGAGAATGAGGCTTGGCAGTGCCTCGCTGGAAGATCCATGTGAGGGCACAGCGCCAGCGGCGAGTGTCCCTGGTGCCTATCACTCACTGCAGCCCCCTCTGAAGCCAGTAGGCTGCCCTCTGCTTAGGGACAGGCACCAGCAACAAGCCTCTCAATGGCAGGGTTCCTCACCTGTGGCATGACTGACATCTGGGCAGATCATTCCTTGTTGTGAGAGGTGCCGCGCACTATATGTGGTGAACAGCATCGATGCCTACACAGGCCAGGGACGCCTCCTTCCAGCTGTGACACATCAACATGACTCCGGGTGCTGCCTGACTGACCCGGCCGTGGCTGAGAACAAACAACCCGGAGGAACTCACCCCCAAAAGGACACTACCCACAGGTCTTGCTCTGCTCACCTTTCTGCGTGACTTACATGCACAATGGGCAAACTGTTGTCATTAAAGAGCACGTCACCTTCTACATGCAACTGGTCACACAGTTCCAGTAACACAAGCTGATGGAGAACAACCATAGGAAGAGAAAATATTTCTGAGAAGAAAGGCAGAATCATGACAAACTGGGAAAGGCTTAAAGCAAGCACCTCATTTTACCGGAAGCACGGCAGCTTTAAGTCCTTTCCACTTGGAATGGACAGGTGCTACCGCCTCTTGGGAGAGCAACAGTGTGTACGTGAATTTGTCTCCATCAACAAGGCAAAAGGAATAGATTTAAAACAAAGCAAGTCTAGCTTTTGTGTTTCTTGCTATTGTAACACTGCTAAATTGTACCTCCTTCACAAATGGCTTCATAACCTACTGCATTTGTACAGTGTGCCATTTCGCCCAGTTAATGTTGGCCTGATTCATCAGGAAAACCTGCTGAATTATCACTCACTGGCCCTAGAAATATTGCTTCTTCGGCAGAGAAAAGCAGACATGACACTCAGACAGCTGTGGGGCTGATTTCTGCATCTTCAGCTGAAACAAATACCAAGGGCACCAATGTAAGGCATTAAATGCAGAATCTTTATGAAGTATTTAATGGACTCGCATACCTGGAATACTGACAGGTATCCACAGCTACATCAGAGGCAGGAAAACTGGAGCCCACGGGCCAAGTCTGGCCCACTTCTTGTGCTTATAAATAAAATTTTTTATCGGAACACAGCCACACCCATGAGTTGATACATGTCTGTGGCTGGTTTCAGGCTGCAGTGGCGGTGTTGAGCAGCTGCAACTGAGGCAGTATGGTGCACAAAGCCAAAGAT